CCCACTTCTATTTCTTATCTCCTTTCCCGAGCTTCAATCTTGGAAGAAGTTGATTACCGAAGCCGAAACACGACGCAGGGCAGTTCATGTCTAGACCATCTCTTCTGTTAGCCTTTGAGAGAAATTCCTCCTTTTTGAACCACCAACGAGGGCGCAGTCCCGAAAAGGTTTGATCACGGAATTCTGGCGTCTGCTGGTAACAGGGCGATAATCAATGTGAATATCAAGGCGTCTTCACAAAGACAACTAACAACGAGAAATGAGGAGGCTGGAGCCCTGGGGTTATTAGTGCTTATCCTGCACTCCTTCCGACTGCTAAGAGCAACAACCAGAGAGAAAAGTACCGGTTATCGTGTTTTACCACACAATATTGGCCCCCTTTCCTTGTAAAGTGGATCCATTACAGAGTCAGCAGCTTGCAGGTGGTCAAAACTCGCAGATGTCAGTTTCTGAGGTTAAGGGTTCATCTTATTGTGGCCAATAAATAACCCCTTCCCCACGACCCTGATCATCCGTTGCATTTGACATTCTCAAAAGCTGTCCACAGCTGTCCGTGCTTCCTTCAGGCGAGATGTCGTCTACCGGCGATAGTTTGGCCCTTCTCGAAGCCCTTGCTCACAAAACGCAGAATGCCGCCGCTCAAATCACATGTTTTCTGAAAGAGGCTCAAACGAAGGGTCCGGTCGATGGACAACCTGGCTCCTTCGACATCCCGCTCAACTCACCCCCGGATGTCAGTGCAGCAAAAGCATCACTGCTTGAGTCCACGATGCTGATGCAACAGCTAGTCATGTCTGCAACCGACATTCAACAACAAATGACATTATATACTCAGCAGATGGCTGCCATACGTTGGATCTGTCGTTTTGACGTCGCGACTCATGTTCCTGACTCTGGGACAATCTCTTATGAAGATTTGGCTGCCGCCGCCGAGGTGCCACAGAAAGAGCTTATGCGCATCTGCCGCATGGCGATGACAGCAGGCTTCTTCCAGGAGCCAGTTCAAAATCAGATTGCGCATACTCCAACTTCTCTCGAGCTCAGATCCTCGTCCCCGGTGCATGACACTTTCCTCTTCATGAGTGACACGGGCCATGCGATTGTGGGCAAAATGCCCGAGATGACAGAGGCAAATCTCAAACTTAGTCCCGGGCAGAAACCCAAAACAGCATTCAATATCGCCATGAACACGGACACACCATTTTTCAAGTACATAATGTCGAATCCTGTTCTCGCGAAGCAGCAAGCTGCACATATGAAGACCATCGTTGCCGCGGAGGAGTCCCACATTCGACACACAGTCACTGGATATGATTGGGCTGCCCTCCCCCAGGGTGCAAAGGTCGTCGACATGGGCGGCTCGACGGGCCATGTCAGCATCACTATCGCGCGGGAATTTCCTCACCTGAAATTTATAGTGCAGGACCTTCCACAGGTTTTATCGCAGACGGCCTCCGTTCCGGCAGAATTGGGGGACAGAGTTGTATTCGAAGCTCACGACTTCTTCCAGCCTCAGCCTCCCAGCTCTCATGGCGCGGATGTTTTCTTTATACGGCAATGCCTACAGAACTGGTCTGATACCGACGCCGCGAAGATCCTGCGAACCCTTCTACCGGCCCTGGACAAGAGAAAATCGAGAATCGTGATCATGAGCGTCGTGCTGGCCAATCCCAATGACACAGAGGTCGGCCAGAGAGAAAAGGGTATAAGCCGTATGAGAGATCTCTTCATGATGCAAGCCATGGGTGGTGGCGAAAGGGATTTGGCACAATGGAAGGCAGTGATCGAGGATGCAGATCCCGGATTGGATATTGTCAATGTAAACAAGCCGCCCGGAAGTGTACTGAGCGTCCTTGAGGTCCGATATAAAATCTAAAAAGGAGGAATGCGGCCTAGCAAAAGACCGCACTATTGTCCGTAGAGACGAATCAACCAAGATCTGTCACCGGCTCCTGCAAGTCAGGTAGGAGACTGATCCGCAATCGAAACATTATGATGACTAGGTAAGTAGTTAAGATCTTGGTCTCCTGGACAACGCAACAGTCGACAAGATACTTAGCTCACTAAGTCATCGTCTCACACGATTCTAGGATCTATTAGCTGGTGATAGGGTCCTTGCGATGATGTGTAAGTCACCTCCACTCATTCTCGCTAACGGACCCATATCTTCGTCCTCTGACTGCTAGTTGTCGGTGCCTTTCAAACTAGTAGAGCGACTTGTCTTCGACGTCGTACCTCCTTCGCAGTCCCTGTTGAGCCTCAAGTCGTCTTTGCTTTCCGAAGTCCTTCTCCGCTGACCAGATGTCGTGGCCATTCACACGTGCATGCTCCGTCTTGCTCCCTAGACCCTAGTGTTGTGATGATGACCTAGTCCACTCCCTCTTCGCACGGTCCAACGGTGCCTCGATCTCTAGATCTCCCTCATCGCTCAATTTAGACCTTTTCAATTTCGACACAACCTCTGAGATAGATAAACTACCAACCGGTGGATAGTCTTGAACAAGATATGGATTATCCCCTTTTTGAAGAAATACCTTCACCATCCCTAAACAGAATTCCGCATCACAGTGGGGGGTGGGGTTGGACCTCAAATCATAGACCAGCCGACCCCACAGGGCATGCCTTCCATAGTCAAATTTTATCATGACATTCGGTTCCAGTCGTCTGTCAAACAACAGACAATATGCATCCTGGATCAACGCCAGAAGCTCTCTATCCACCGTGGTGTTGAAGGGCCATAATACACAACTTACACATTGCGATGTCCTCGAAAATTTTTGCTCCTTTTTTGAGCAGTAATGACAGGAGCTCAAGGTACCATTTGGGAAAAGAAGAATCGCGTAGAGGACTTTTGTTTTTGTGACCGACGGTATCAAGCAGGTATGGAGAATAGACTTGCCGTCGACCATTCCGTTTGGGTTAGTGACGTTCTGAAGCAGTACTGCAGCCATCTCGTACGAAGCTTTCTGGATATGAGGACCCCTACGCCCACTAAGCCATCTGAGGAAAGTAACCATCCAAGCTTGCCTGCAGCGGCCCAAAAATATAGTCGGTTCTTATTTGATTCGGTCCCGAACCCTCGAGATGTAACCAGACTCAATGGCATTCCAAGGCAGTGAGGTTGCTTTTCCATCACAGATGTCAAGGTTATCCCTCAGCAGTGGAGCGGACGAGTAGAGGACATTGTTCATCTTGTCGAATAAAGGAGTGCTAGGAGTGCGTAACTTCTCCTCTGCTCTTCGGGAAAATTTGATAAAATCGTCTAAGTGGACTAGATTAAGGCTACCAGGGAAGGTTTCCCCCTTGCCGATAAACGCGTTGCATACGCACACAGCAGCGTTGACGCTGTCGGCGGAGTAAGAAGCAAACAGTCGTTGCATTTGCTTTGTGGCAAGAAGTCGTGGACGGTCCGATGAAGGAAGTCGACGTCTCTGGCTCCTGGTTCGCCGTCGGATTCCAACAGCCCTTTATAACGGCCATTGACTTGTCGGTTCATGGCGTCTTCTGCGACTAGAATCTCGTCATCCCTTTGGATTGATCCTGAGTGACTTTATGTGGGATGTCTCATGAGAGCGTGGTCCCCTTCATCAATGGATGGATAAAGAAGCAGCCGGAGAGGTTTGTGTGTTTTCAGGGCAACCCCGAAAGTGTGTGCCATCCTCTTTCGATAGACCTTGTCGACAGATCTGATCAGTTGGTTAAAAAACTCCTCGAGGTCAGATGGCATCTCTATTCGTCTGTCATACAAAAGAGACAAAAGAATCGCCATTGAGGAGACTCTCCCTCAGAGACCATGCAACCAAATGTACCGAGAGAAATACCCCTTGGGCGCGGGCACGATTTCTGATATCAGTTGCTCAGTCTGGAGGACATCTTGTCTCGTCAGAGAAAAATTCGGAACTTCTGCCGGCTTCTCTCTCGGGTACAGAGCGAGGCCGTCGTTAGTAAGGTCTTGCAGGTATAGTTTGCTGAGGCAATCCCGGCCAAAAGCATCCTCAAAGCAGTTCCAGGGTCTGCTGGCAACCCAAACTTTGACATTGTTGATCTGAGCAATATTTTGTACAGTTTTGATGAGATCCTAGTGGTCACCGTTGTACTCGTCGAGACTGTGAATGAAAATGCAAAGCTTCGCAGGATTCCTAGGGTCTACGGTCATGACACTCAATTTGCGGAAAGTTTCGATGAGTTCTGAAAAGCACCATTCGCTTTGAAGACCATGGCGGGATATCGCCCACCTTTCCTGACAGGCTATTGGGATCCAATCTGGAAAACTCTTGAATATTTCGAGCAAGAGTTGTTGAAGCAGACCACGTTGAGACTTTCTGCATGTTGGATCCAGCGATCCAGAAGAAGAATCCCGCGATAGTAAGACGGTCATTATTGACCCAGACTTGGAGACATCGCTTGGTTTGCTGGCAACTACGGAGATATCTCATCAATGTGATCTTGCCTGAACCGGGTTTGCCTGAGATCCAGTAGATTCCGTTGCCAGAGGTTAACCTATTGTGAAATCGTATACGGGACCGTGGATCAGATGATTGCCAGCGAGAGGGCTCAAATATCCATTCGAAAGTTTTTTGGCGCGCTTCGGCAATAGCAGAATACCTGGCTGCCACTCTCTCGAATGACAGGTTTTTAAGGATGCTCGCTTCCTTTTGAAATTTCGTTGATTCATGATCAGAGTCGCGCAAAATTTGATCTATATGGGTTAAATGCTGTTGTGTGAGGTCCTGGCTACTCCGTACTAGACCACGGACTGATTCAAGCATAGGTTCAATTCTCTGTAGCCGGGCTGAATCGATCTCTAAACATTCTGTTTGAGCATTCTCCAAGAATTGTAGGACCTGACCCTGTCGTACACTGATGCCAATCAGATCTCCCGCAAAGAGTGGTAGTCCATCCAAGATCGAGTTTTACCTTACGTACGAGAGGACGTGAATTGACAAGTTGCTGCGCGTATCCTCAAGCCTCCTCTGTAGCTTGCCAATTTTATCCTTTTTCTAGATAGTGTTCAGAACCTGTCGAAAGCTTCGCCGCTTCTTATGTGAACCTTCACCGACTTTGAAACTATGGATGGTTGCTCCTAGCTCTTCTCCAACAGCTCTGGAAGAAGCTGGGATTTTGACGATCTCTTCTTTGGCCGCGGAGACTGCGCTTTGAGTGGGATCCAGAGGTTTCATCAGCTTTGAGCTGAGGTTCGAGATGCTTTCGGCCAGCTCTTCGAGCCCAACATTACTAGCTGTAGCTCCCTCTGCTGAATGTTATATCTCTTTTGCACCTGAAATAAGTTCACAAGTAAAGTCGACAAACTGCGTGATGTTTGCCGCCAGACAGATTGCGGAGAGCGGTCGAGAGCCATGGTGTGAATGCCGATGAAGAAAGGAAAGGAAACAAACATTCAGGTTGTCAAGAGAAAAGTGTGAAGCTGAAAGGCAGGCTCCGGTCACGCTGATCGTCGATGCGCACATGTACAGCCCATCTGTGTCACCTTCCCCTTCTGGGCAGCCTTGTTAGCCCTGGCCAGTGACCTGAACATGTGGTCCAATTGGGCTGGAGGCGAACAACACAAAACCTTTTATTGTACCATCCATTTTTACTCTCCGGTCTCGACCAGTAACCAGACCCCCGTACGTCGCAGTCTCAATCTGGTAGAAGCTCAAGCTTCGTTTATGTACAAAATCAATTCTTTTTCCTCTGGCCATAAGATCGCGTAGCGTAATCTCCCTTGTACACAATTAGATCCGCGGGTTCGTAGTCATGCGTGCCGCTCAGATAGCTCTGAAGGATCTTCTTCACGCCATCGGCATATCGCTTCTGGGCATCCAGAGAACTGCCCGACATGTGCGGAACCATGCCGTTACCACCTCCGAGAGGATTCTTTGCATAGCGAAGTGGGTGGTCTCGTGGCGCGGGCTGGGGAAACCAGACGTCTCCTCCGTAGCCATTCAAGTGGCCAGACTTCAGAGCAGCTGCAATGTCGTCGGCAACGACTATTGCACCGCGAGCAGTGTTGACAATCCACGATCCTAAAGTATGTTAGCGCAGGGGCCGTATAGAAGACACCATAGTCGGAGAGATTAGTCGGAGAGATTAGAACACCAGTTGAACCTTACCTTTCTTCATCTTTGAGATCAACTCCTTGTTGAAGAGACCGTACGTCTTTTCGTGCAGCGGACAATTGATAGTTACCACATCGCACTGTGCGACCATATCCTCCAAGTTCTCCACTCTCCGACACCCTATTTCGGCTTCCACGTCGGGATTGAGGGGCTGGTAATCGTAATAGAGTAGCTCCTTGCAGTCAAATGGTTTTAACCGCCGTAGGACACGCTGGCCGATCCGCCCGATACCAACGGTTCCCACTACCTTGCCTTCTAGGTCGTATTCGTTCCGCGCGACTTGAGCAACATTCCATTCACCGCGTTCGATCTGTTCATGAGCTGGGATCCAGTTACGGACTAGACCTAGCATGGTCATGACCACATGCTCCGCTACTGAGACGACGTTAGACCCCGTGACCTCTGCAACCGTGATACCACCGTTGGTCTTGTTGGCGGCATTGAGATCGATGTGGTCTGACCCAACACCTGCAGTCACAGCCAGCTTGAGCTTTTTCGCTTTCTTCAATCGGTCGGCGGTAAGGTATGCCGGGTGGAATCTAGAATGGTGGTTAGATGAGTACGAGATACACCTAAATGAGCGGGTGGACATTGAGCCAACAGAGACACGTACGGAGTGGTGATCAGAATTTCTGCATCAGGGAGCTCTTTTTCGAACACCGAATTTGAACCCTCTTTATCAGAGGTCGTGATGAGAGTATGGCCTTGATCTTCGAGCCATTTCCTAAGCCCAAGCTCATTCTCGGTCGTCCCTAATAGTCGTGGTTGCTGTTTAGCGTGTTCTCCACCCTGATGCTATCAGTAAATACACATCTAGACGTGGCTCCTCTCTGAGTTTGCTCTGCCAGGTCGAATTATAAACAGAGAGAAGCGGACTGGACTCACATCGTATAAGACAGATAGAATCTTCACATTCCGGTTTGCTGATGCAGAGAAAGACCTGACAGAGGATATTCCGGGCTTTTGACACAAAAGCCTTGAGCCGGCTTGCACGCACAAGGTTGGAGAGCCGGAGAATCTAGCTCTGACTGCCGCTGTTCGAAGCATTTCCATGACAGTCTCAGTGGCGCAAACGGACCCTCAATGTTCGAGTGAAGATGTCGTCAGTGAAAGGAATGTGAGACTTGTTATACAAAGCGGAGGGTTCCAAAGGACCAGGAACGGAATGCCGACCTACAAATATCAGCAACAACTACCGTTTTTAATCTCACGGTTCGGCGAAAACGCGGTCAAGGCTGCAATAGAAGTAAGTGGAGTAAGGAGAGTTGGTCTTGAAGTTCAGCCGGGTTCTAGGATATTGAAGCCTCTCATGGCTTTGGGATAAACTGTCATCCCTGAGATTGAAACGGCATTGAGCATCAAGGAGACTGGAGGATGTTCGGCAAACATCGCTCGTGGAGAATATCCTGGTCTGGAATGGTCTGTACATAAGGCTAAACTCTCTAAATTGTTGTCACATGATTTACTTACCGCCCAAAAAGGAAGAATATACTCATTTGGACTTCGACACTCTCTGCACTCTATGCTAACACCCCGGAATCTAATGATAAATGATCAGCCGGCGGGCGAAGTACTGGCGGGCTGGTTAAACGTGAGCCAGGGAGGAGAACGATAGGAGAAGTTGACCAATAGGAATACTGAAACTGCCGATTCTGCCGATTCTGCCGGTTGCGCCGATTGGTCTGGTAGCTCGACAGGTGGATCCCGGCAGTATTCTTTCTCCACGGGTTTTTTGCCCCGCGACCACCCCCTCCACATCCGAACATCCTCTGAACAATTGACCTCAGCAATACTCGGTACCTGGGGTGAAAGAGCAGGTATTAGCTAACACAGGTCATTAATTCCTCAAATATCTAGCGTTAGCGCAATCAGACCACTGAGGACATTGGACGTGCCTCTTCTTCCGGCAATTTGTTTCCTTTGAGCCAGTCAGCACACATCCGGGGACGAAGAACCAATCGATTTTCCATTTGGTTTCCATCCAAAAGGACTCTCCAGACCCCAGAAAAGGCTCTCCACACACCGGATACAACTACTAGTTACAAGCGTCAAGCTGGACTTCACATCTCCCGGTCATGTCAGCTCGTTCCACGGGGCCTCGAAATCCCATCGCGTGTGTTCCGTGCCGAAAGGCCAAGTTGAGATGCTCCCATCGTAATCAGGCCCCATGTGACCGTTGCCGTTCTGCCGGTCGGGCGCCTTCTTGCTATTTCCCTCAAAAATGGACATCCGCCTTACATCGGCAGCCGAAGAAGCCGCGCCGTGGTATTCAGGTCCACCAGCCCCGAAAGGATGCTACACCGGACGCTTCCGCAAGCTTTATCTCAATCGATGAACACCCAGTTCAACTGAAGCAAACAGAAGGGCTGGCCGCTTTTCCTTCAGGGGAAATTTCATCAGAAGACCCTCTGGAGTGGTTCACGAAAGATGTCGAACAATGCTATCTGCGATGTACCTACAAGTGGAGTTTCCACCACAAGCCAAGGCTCTTGCAGCAAATCAGGGATGGGACAATTGATTCTGCAGTGGCCTGGGCCATCCTTACACTTGCTTCCAGGTGCCAATTATCCGGTATTGAAACCTCGTAGCTTCTTGTTGATTTCTTCTTAGGTATTCCCCCACGCCGCCGTGCTTTGGCTCTCCTCTCGAAGCTAGCAATTTCTTCGCACAGCGAGCATCACGTGCTATACAACTCCGCATTACTTCACCAAGTCTTCCCCAGGTGCAAGCTCTTTTGCTATTGACGGGACACAAGTGGGGAGCGGGTGACGGAAAGAGCGCATGGATCTACCTCGGAATAGCAGTACGCATGGTTCAGATGATGGGCCTTTGTTCAGAATCATCGAACGACTCCAATGATGGATCTGCCTCAGAAAGTTTCATTCTGGCCGAAGAACGCCGGCGCACTGCTTGGACATGCTTCCTCATGGAAAGCCTTCTCAGCGGCGGTGGCAGTCGGGCTCGTATTCTCACATCTGAAGACATGACGATCCAGCTTCCATGTGAAGACGAGCCATTCGTATTTGGGAACCCTGTGCGATGCGAACGGTTAAGCAACAGATTTGAACCGCAAAGGCCACCCAACACACTATCAAATCTGTCTATTCTTGCTTATACAGTCAGAGTCGCAGATATATGGGGTGACGTGGCGAAATGGGCATCGTGCGGCGACGAATCCGTCAAAGAAAGCCTAGGATGTTGGGAGTCAAGGGCGCACAGCCTTGTCTCGTCACTCCATCATTGGAAATCGACATTGCCGGACCGGCTAAAGTACAGTTTGTTCTCACTTCAAGCTCACAGCGTGCTTGAACAAGGCCAGGGCTTCTGTTACATGCACTGCATATATTTCATGGCCATCATATTCCTCCACCGCCACTACCTGCCACATTTGGGACTTTCAAAGGGCCAGAGACCTCCGAATCGCTCGGACGAGGAAGCGTTTCTGGACTGGGCGAGCCGCTCATCCCAGACCCTCTACGACACCGCATCCACCGTGTGTGATATGTGCGAGGAGATAAACCGCTTCGGTGCAGATTTCCGGAGAGGGCTGGTTCCTTGGATTGGTTTCACCGTGTACACAACCATTGGCGTTATGCTCTATTTTCAATCCTTTCCGCTCGAGCCGACCATGGAGTTTGCCACCAAGACCAGGCACAGGCTTCATAGTGCATACTTGCTTCTAAAGGAAATGAAAAACGAATGGCCCATGGCAAGCCGATGGGTAAGCTTTAGCTACATATCATACTCGAGTCCCCCCGCCCGCTTCGTTAGACGAAAACGCTAACCAACCCGATAAACCAGCTCGAAAACATCTATTCCCTGCAAAAGTATCACGCCTCCCGGCTGCAAAAGAATAACCTGTCAGCAGAAGAGCTCCGAAGCTTCCGAAAACTGATGGTCGATTATGGCGCCCTGCACGACACCCCCGTCTCTGACCCGACGATCATGTCCGTTCGTTCCACAGGAACCACGCCAGACACAAATTCAGAACCAGGCGCTTGCCGGGACCTGGAGCCCAGACAAAAACAACATTACTCACAGCTACAAGATACACCTGACTCGGCGAGGACCGAGCCAGCCAGTGACTCGTCACTGGGCGACGTGCTGAACATCCTGGGCGATTTTGATGGCGTCGACTACCTCGTGTCCGAGGAAGAGATGGCGGGGATTTTCCAAGAGTTCTGGACCTTGTTTCCTGGCGAGGTTGGCGCGGATATGATGGCTTTCCAGGGACCGTTCGCACGACTCGCTGGCGCGTGATTGCTACTGTATCTACCAGAACCATTTATCAGTTCCAGAATATTAAATCATCCTCGTACCCCTTACGGGCTGACCATGAGCCCGCAGCTTTGTTCCGAATTTGTATTCCTCCTGATTGACTGTTCTCATGGTTTCTTTTGGAAAGGTCGGGAGTAAGATGTTAACTGTCACCCTTCCCGAACCAACTTACAGAAATGTATTGGGTTGGCGGGCGTTTACAGCCAGCATGATTTTGTCTTCATCTCAACCTGGCACATGTAACATGAAGTTCCCAAACGAAATAGATATGTGGTATACCGTCCAAGGCTCTCTATTCAGGGTTTGATAGTCGATATGGGTTACTTGTGAAACAGCTTCAGTACCCCTCTCAAAACTTGATGGGCCATTAATTGGCTAGGGGGTACTCTCGGACCAGAGTATCCCTTGATGGGTGGTTCCCACATGGGATTGGCGCCGTTGTTCAAGGCGTGCTCAACCTCAGCAAGCTCAAACCACTTGGCCTCTTCCAGTTCCGTCTCCGGATAGGTGATGTCTTCCCCTCCCTCGACGCATTGGCCGATGACGCCGATCAGCATTGTCGACGGATAAGGCCACGGTTGGCTAGAGTGGATCTGTACCCTATCAATATGGACGCCGGTTTCTTCATAGGCTTCCCGCCTTGCTGCCGTCTCGATGCTTTCACCAGGTTCAATGAAGCCTGAGAGGCATGAGAAATAGTTAGCAGGCCAGCGTTTTCCACGGCCTAAAAGAACGCGTTTTGCGTCCGCCGATATGGGAGCGATGACGGCTGTGGGATCAGTCCGTGGGAATGCTTGGTTATGAAGGCCGATTCGGGTCGGACATGCTCGCTGGCGGAGGACGCCGTTGTCGGCAGGTGGACAGACCACTTTCGCTCCTCCGTGCGTGGATAGCATGCGGCCACCGCAGCTGGAACAGTAGCGGTTGCGGTTATTCCAGTCGATCAGCGACCGCGCATGGCTGTATATTGCTGACTGCGGGTGATCCAATGTGAGATCGACCCTGGTGGGTACGTACTTGAGGCCAGCGGCTGTTTGCGACTCCTTAAATGCTGCGTAACGGTTCGAGCTCACGTCGAGAGCAAAGTAAGGGACTCCAACATACTGCGCCAGATGAGCATTCTCCCCAGAAGCCGCATATTTGCCTTCCAAGTCCAAGCCGAGAAAGATGAGAGTCGGGCGATGCTCATCCGGATCGAATTCAGCTATCTGGGCCTTCTCGTCTTTGGCGTAGGGACGGCCAATTGTGTCCGCAACGTCTTCATATTTGTTGAATGCAAGTTTCCCGTCTGGCGTCCGCAGAGGGTTCAACTCCTCAAAGGTGAGATACTTTGCACTTGAATGGGTAGAGGCTTTGTCCAAAAGCTGGTTGTTCAAGCGCATGAACGAGAGCCGGGTGACGGGGCCATTAGAGAAGTAGGCATTATGGCCCTGTCCAAATATCTCCGACAGACTGGACATGGTGGTTAAGTACAATAAAGCAAGCACCACAGGAGACCGTCATTCCAGGGACAGAGCGGGAGAAGTGGGATTTATTGACCAACGGCGTTATATTTTAGCGCTCGGAAATAGGTGTGGAGTCATTTGTTCTTGTCCATCGCTCGCTTCTGGGATTCAGGGTTGTACGGAGGTATTCCGGTATGTAACATGAATGCCTAAAGTTATTTGTCACAGTTGTGTCCATGTGACCGGCAAGGCTGGCTGAGCACGGGGGAGCTTGAACAACGTCCTGGGCCTTAGCTTTTACACCAATCACCCGAGTTTCGTCCATTGTATCTTGGTGTATTACTTGGTAGATTTCACACGATTAGCACAGGCCATCAAGTCTCCGAAGCACTTTGACAATGGAGCCTGTGCCATCTTCACGGATTTGACGCCTTGAATTAGCGGATCTGGGCCCAAGAGTTCTGGAATCATGACGGGAGCAATTTTCGATTCCCGAATTGTTAGTTGACCGGTGGCCAGATCCGTGCTGGATTCTTTTTACATTGTTGAAAGAAAAGAAATTGAAGAGCTATCGAGATTTTGTCACGCATCACGTGGAGCCTTCCAGTCGCGAGGTCACGGGGCTACGCGTTGCGCGTCTTGTAAAAGGCTTGGCAGACTTTGGGCGTACTGAGACCCAACTCCTCTAACCCGACTGCACCACACTTGACCATAGCAGCCATCACTCCTTGGACCAGAGGGCCCAGTCATCACTGAAGTCAGATCAAGTATCCTGTTTATCGATTCAACGCGCCAAGCTCAGAATGAGTGATCCTGTCTGCCTCCCTTTCCTCCACGTTCAATCGTCTATGGGGTGGCTCATTCAAGCTTGGCATTAACCTTCAAGGAGCCTCTCCCTAATTCTTCTTCACTGCCCGAATACCCTGGCCGAGCCAGACACAAGCAATGCATTCGATGTCAACCAATCGTCTTCACCGTCAGGCATCTCAAGCATTCAACGCTTCCCCCAAAATGATCCGGTCTGCGACGTATCCCGTAACCGCCGCGAAGACAGCCTTGTGAAGCAAATCAATGATCTGCTCGTTGACGGGCCATGTCCTATTTTATTTTGCACGTACGCACAGAATCAGTCTATGACCAGATTTGATACAACGAACTCTCAGATTTTGACTTTCCTGGGGAAAAAGAGGGCAAGTCAAAAGCAAAAGAAGAGAAGAGACAAGAACCATGACGTACCATGGCAAAGCTCCGACTCCCGTCCAATTCTCCAACGTCTGATCAATAAGCAGCCTGACGCCCATGAAGAGATAACTCGCAAAGGGGCCGACGACGCCGTAGTAAGCCATCGCACCGCGGTTGCCGGCCGCGAGCATTCCCTGGCCCCAATGCATCGCGCGGTTCACTCTGTCCGGGTGCGCATGGAAGTCGAGATTGAACAGCCGAGCGAGAGTTTTGCCAGGCACGTACGAGTTGGGTCGGTGGGTGAGGGATTGTTCGGCCTTGGCGCTCAACGTCATCCTGGAGGGTGGGTCAAAGTTAGAAAGAATCGATCAGGAAGGGAACTCGATTCTGGGAGAACAAGATGATGGTGGTGGCACAGCATCATGCTTCATCCATTTGCATCGTGTTCTCCTTTCTACCCCTTTCCCCTTTTTCGGGATGTGGACATACGCTGTAACACCCAGAGCGCCTGCCCCGATTCCTATGGCGATGCATTCGAGGAGGGACAACCGGATCTTCGGTCTCGCTGGGTTGATATAGTGCTCTGGCATGGCTGATGTGATATGTCTCCCTTTTCTCAATGCTTGCCCGCGGAACTTTCCAGAGAATGGAGAATTTCGTCGACTTTAAAAAGACAAGAAGAAAGGGAAAAGACCCTCCGCCAGGTCTTGATCTCGGCCCATTGGAATCGAGCTCTGCTCATGACGTTTCTTACACCGCGAGGACCGGAGAAGGATCCCGTAGCTACTAGGTACTCACCTTGCTCCTTGGCATCTGGCTTTCAGACCTAACCAGCTACGTTGCCACTGAGAGTGTCTACACAAGTCCAGCGTTCTCTTTTGCCATTAGGAAATAATGTTTGGCTCCTAGCGGTCGCGGTTGACTCCCAGGTAGGTACTTCGCTTATGAAGACAAGAGAGACGACCCACCCTCGCTGATATCTCTTTCCATCGATAGTCCGGTGTGAATGCTACATACATGCCACTACCACTTGCGGCCGTCTTCAAGATTCGGCAGCGATCTCCTGCCTCACCTTTGCACTGTGGTCAAACGGCTGCAAGCCCCCTTTCGCGGGGCCCATGATCTGGAGTCCCTCCGGACTGAATCGGCTGCCGTGCACGGGACAGTCCCAGGTCTTCTCGTCGTTGTTCCAGCACACGGTGCCCTTTAGATGCGGGCAGACCGCGCTCATACGGTGTACCTTGCCGTCTTTGTCCTTGTAGACAGCCTGCGGGTGCGCGGTTGTCGTCGAGTTCAGGACGCCTCCTTGGTCGATGCCGAGATCTTCCACGTCTTGAATGTCTGATTGTAAGAGGCGTTTGTATTGCGTATTGATCTGGACGTCGTGCTCGATCATACTGGGAAGCTTGGACGCCACGGACGCGACTCGTTTGGGATTATACACCTTGGCCCAGGGGTTGTCGATGCCCTGGATCTCATCCGCGAGGAGTCTTCCCGCCAGCACGCCGTGAGTAAGACCGTTGCCGGAGTCGCCAGTAATCACGTAGATCCGGTCATTACCCTCGTTTTTGCCAATGAATGCCATGTGGTCGACTGGCTCGAAGATCTGGCCGGACCACTTGTAGTCCACGCTGCCTGCGCTGGGGAACCGTTCTCGGGCCCAAGTTTCGAGTTCTCTGTATCGCTCGTCCCACTCATCCTCCTGGCCAACTTTGTGATCACAGCCGCCGACCACCATGTAGTCATCCTGCTCATCGCAGGCAGTCATGCGGATGTACTTGTATGGATCAGCCGAGTCGTAGATCAGACAATCTTCGACAGTTCCTTTCGGAATGCGGATTGCGATACAGTAGGTACGGTGGTACTCCATTTCGGCGATGATGCTGAGCTTCTGCAGAGGTACGCAAGTGGCTTGCACGGTGTGGCTGCATTTGACAGTATGGCCATTCAGAGTCGAGACGGTCACATTCTTCGGACCCAGGTCGACGTTCACTAAGGGTACATGGATGCCGCTTTCGGCACAGTCGACCACGCGTGTATGCGTGTAACATTCAAAGTTGGGCTGGTCCTTGAGCCACTTCAAAACTCCCACCAAGTATTTGGTAGGGTGGAAGGTTGCTTGCCGGCCAACAATGGCTCCGCCTCGTTGATCTAGTTTTCCACTCCAGCCTTTGACGGTGAGACTCTCGTCGTATCTCGCATCGAGACCGAGCTCCTTTTGCAGGGCAGACTCTTCCTTCAGGTCCGACATGTCATGGTTATGTTCCTTGGTGCCCACGGGATACTGGGAGAGATTATATGCCGGGAGCATGCGGTATTCGCAGTCTATCCCGAGCTCTTTTGAGACCTCACCAACATGCTTGAGAGCCCAGTCGTGTGATTCGGCGGCATGTTTTGCTCCGTCCGCACCGAACAGCTTCTTGATAGCCACGTAGCCGTCATCGAGATCTGATGACAAGTGACCTGATGTTCGACCGGTCTCACCTGCCACGGGCGTCAATATATGTTTTGTCGCTTCCCTAAAGGCGCATTGGAGAAGGGGTACCTGAGAGTATATCTCTTGCCTCGAGCATCACAACGTTCAATCCTCTTCTCACCAGTTGCTCCGCGGTCGAGATGCCTGAGATACCAGATCCGACGATGCAGATATCAGTCTCCAAATCCCGGTCCAGTTGAGGGAACTGAGGGCGATCTGAATATGGTTCGAGGTGGACCCAAACAGGGTCGTGGTGGCCAGAAGTCCGCATGAACTGGTTAGGATCTGAAGACATGCTGATGAGCCGGTGGGGGACCGTGACAGGACGCCGTATAAGGAGGTGAGACGAGGCAGCGAATTTCTGAGAGTGAAGAAATGGCGGCTGTGAGAGATGTTGTATGAGAGGCCTCTTCAAGACTGAAAGTGAGGCCGGACGGAGAAGGAGGAGGCCTGTAGTAAAGCCCATTCTGATTGCTGAAGACAGCTACAAGCAGAGCGTCACGCATGCCATGAGCGAGGGGAGAGTTTCACTGCATCCATTCGTCGATTGATGATGCTTTGATAGACGTCTCGTCCGTGTCATGCACTGCACGGGTCACTGTCCACTTCGGCTTCCTTTTCCAACAATCATTTTCCCCTCAACGAAGGCAATTGTCTCTAGTGTCTCTGCCAAATCCATGAGGTCACGAAGCCGGAGCTGAAGCCGCCGCTTGAGGTGCCTTGTACTTGCTTATGCTCCTTCAGGCTCATCAGTTGCTCATGTTGCTCATGGTATCATCAGCACCACCAGTACTAATGCGAATTCTCCCGTTGGGACTGTGAATGACTGCCTGACTTCATAACGACGTAATCTGCACTCCCCAGCGCAGCGTGTCCGGATACCAATCCCCGACCAGTGAATGTGGATGATGCGACTAAACCTGTATGCCCCCGAGTTCCGGATTTTCAAGGGGAAGCGCAAGAATTGCAATTATGAACCGAGCGTTGCTACGGAGTATTACTAAGAACGACTATCCTTCGAATTTGAACCCTGTTCAGTCATGTTTCTTATCGATATTGAGTAGAGGCGCATTACTTTCGCCGCGAGGCTTGACCAACTTCTCTATGCAGTGTCTCTCACCTCGCAGCCGAAGATACCAGATTGCATCAGAAATAGTCGCGAAACGCTCAAGAGCTGAGCAGCGACGAACTTACTCTAGCGTTGATGGCGCGGTAGAGATTCACGACTAAACCCTCCTGTCCAGAACACATTGCTCTAGCCTTAGATATGCTGCTGATGGGCGTCACAGCCTCGTTCTGCATTTCATGACAGCCATCGCCCGCGCCTCAGTCGAACTTGTCGATCATTGTCGCTGGCATCACCGGGTGGAGGAAATGACGCCAATCGATAAGTTGTGGTACAGTTTTTCTCGAATTGACAGAGAGTTCCGAGGCTGGACCTGGGGAGCCTAGGCCAAGGGAAGAGGGCGGCGTGACAACATCCGACCTGGCTATCCTACATATGGAGCATCCATATTCCAAAACGTCCAATATTTTGAATCCCTCTGTCGATCTTCCGAGGCTAAGACGCAGTCGAGGCATTGGCTGTCCTAGTTTCTGTACCTGCTGGATTGGAATGGTGAAACAGCCTCAACGAATCTGGAAAGATTCATCGTGAGAGGCGGAATGCTCCCCAGTCAGGTTGATATCAGGATTAGCCTGTGTGATATCGTATCAGCTCAAGACAGTCTAGCGTTGGTATTGGACCCAGCGACAAAGCTGCGAGGATAAGAAACCTGGAGGGCGTGAGAGACGTATATAAGAAGGGCAAGAAGCAGGAAAGACGAAAAGAAACGTATTCTCAATGCACTACAGTATCCCACATTCAAACTCCAGCAATACCCCAGTTGTCAGAAACCTCAACACTTTTGCACACCATCATGGCCGAAGATGCATCGAACAGAGCCAGAGGGTACAAGGCGCGAGTCGCACCGCATTGCCGAAGGCCCGGACCTCGAGAATGTGAAAAGAGCTGACTCCTTTGCAAGGACTCTCTCGAACCCCAATACCTCTGAAGAAGCCAAGCAGCACGCGCGAGAAGCCCTCGAGAATGAATTCCAAGACGCACCACATGTCAGCGATGAGGGTGGAAAGGACCCCGCGACCGTCGCCCGGGACCTGAAAGCGTAAGGACCTCTTTTTGCTTTTTGATCGGTGCTCGACTTGGCAATGGGGCGTAGACTGATTCCCTTCTTTTTACTATAGTGCAATTAACAACCCTAATGTGTCGGAGGAAGGCAAGAAGCAGGCTGGAGAAAAGCTCAAGGACCTGTATTATTATATAAGGCTGTCTTACCGATGCCTCGGTCTAGGGACCGTGTATGTACAATGGAAAACAGTTTGCCGGAACTTCCCCTGTGAAATAAAGCTTTGTCTCTTATTGACAGCCGTCACCAATCGTGCCCCGTAAAGGTTCACCCGTGTGAAAGCGTCCAGTCAATATAAGAAACTCAATAAGAAGTTGCGGAGTGGTCCAATCGGAATATTGTAATCGATCCAGACACAACGAAAGATTCTAGGCTGCACGGACCACATGTGCTGATCCGGGTCTTTGATCCAGGTTGCATCGTCCCATACTTATCCGTAAAGTGTGCTCGCTAGACGCAACTTTACCCCTTTTGTGTGCTTCTCATTCCCTATTTGAGCAAAATGTGTTGATCCTGGAGTCGCTAGGATGCTTTCCTGCAATGTACGAGGTAAAGAAACAAGGGAAACCGGGCAGCTGTTGTGGTGTTCACTGTCAATCCATATGATGTCATATCCCACGACCGTTGCTCGACCTGTTGGAGGAATAATGAATCAATGAGGGTGTTCATGGTGTGTCGGACGTGTTACTATCCATCGAGTGGATGGTTGCAATGCACATGCCCAGATTCGCCGTCATTTGATGCGCTTCCCTGGCGCTCCTCTTCGTGATTGTATACAAATAGAGCACCAGAAATGTGCAGAAGAAAGATGCCCCAATGACCCAAAGCCTAACCCTTAATGGCGCTCGTCTCGTGCCAAATCTCCCGTTGAAGTTGGCTCGTTTCTCGCCCGTCGAGCTGCAATGGTGTAAAATATGCCGCCGTCGTATACCCTGCGGATGTCTTCTTTCATCATGCGGCCATCTTCAGGCCAGAGCATGATATAGGTGGCCTGCCCTTTGATAACCGTCCATCAGTGGGTGATTCTATCAAAGTCTGTCAAGCTGGAATTCGGGACAAGGGAGGGACTTACACTCAAAGAAAGCGCCAAACCAACCGATGGGGTCTGCTATCAATCGCTGGCCCTCGAGTAACTTCCAGACTTCCCAGATACTGAGACTGTCCTTTCCATCCGCATATTTGGCGAACATGTCCTCAAATTTCTGCGGCACAAATCGGCCCTCGGTGTCATAGGTGCCAGTGTCACTGCCGTGCTTGTCCTTGTGAGTGTTAATGACGTAGATGTGGAACAGCGGGTCTGGAAGCCGGCATGGCACGGTGGGATACGAGAAGTTGGTGTGGATGATAGAGACAGCGAGTAGAGAGAGGAGGATTCCAAACCTGAGCCTGTGGAATCCCACGAGGCCGCTGTTCAGACGCTGCAATGTCCGCACGGGCGGTGTCCGTGTCGTCGGGCAGTCAGTCAGCTCAGAACCTCTCCATATGTATTTCCATAGAGTAGTTCCATCAGACGTACCGGCGTGCTCAAGCCTCAGATTGGGCCCCTGTTGGACAAACGGCTTTCTTTCTACCGTAACGGGCACCGACGAGATCGAGCTCACGAGCGGATGTTGCTCGCCAACGGGGACTTTGGTTCCCATCTTCTTCGCTTGAAGGTGATTCCCAAGTAAAGTCAGCCCGCGGTCGGCCCAAGAGAGGTGCCAGTATGCAGACCGAGGAGAAAGATTCCTGAACTAAGAGATTCGAGAAGAGCACGATCCCAGGACCAACATGCGCCTCTCGTTACTTTATAGTAGCTTGCAGATCTCGTGCTGATATATTTCTGGGCGACGAATGATCGAATGGTAGAGATACGGAAACCTCATCCCCTCGATGCTTTCGGCCAATTGACCGATGTTTTCGTCATCCATCCCATCTCTGAACGCGCTTGAGGTCATTCCAAGCCATGCGGGCAATGTGGCGAGGGTGGCCGCTCGACGAATGACTCTAGGACTCTCTTAGATATCCCTCCCCAAAGCAAAGCAGGCTCCGTCACAGCTGAGAACTTCAACTTGGTCATCATCGCGTCTCGCCCAAGATAAAACCCCCAAATGAAATTAGTCAGTCTTTGACCAGTTTCAGTTCGAATGGCCGCCATCATACCGCGAGAAATTGTACGGCTCCCAGAAACCAACCATGAAGACACGCTCCAACAGGCCTCGTCGCGGAAGAAAGTGAGTCTCGCGTGCCTGTCTTGCAGACGGCGGCGCACAAAGGTAGGCTGGAATACCACCCCTCTCATATTGGGTGTCTTCATGGTCAGGGTCTGACTGTATGTGATCGAGTGTGACGGAGGCGTGCCGTGCGCTTCCTGCCTTTCGCGGAATACCGAATGTGTCAAGGACGAATTCGACGATGGCCGGCGCAAGCTCGCAGTCAAACGGCGGCTCGAGTCTCTAGAGAAGGACCGCCATCTTCTGAACGCCCTGCTCAATGCGATCCGCACGGGAGAATCCAACCAGCTACACGCCCTGATCGGCCTAATACGAAACAACGCCGCCCGGCAGGACCTGGCCGACTTTCTCGAAAACGGGTCCGGTGGCATCAGAGGAGGAGTAGTCGACGCACTCAACCGTCGTATCGACTCATCCGCGGTACACAGACGGAGCCGCATTCGCTATGGCCGTATTCAGGATATTGTGAATCCTCCTATATTAGTCCCCGCGAGGCCGTGGACGACAGTGACCAATGATGACGACTTCGTCTCGCATCTCATGTCTCTTTGGTTTACCTGGGCTCACCCCTGGTGGCACTGGGTGGACGAAACCCTCTTTCTCGAAGCAATAAGATCGCGAGACACTTCGAGTCTGATATGCACTCCCTACTTGGTCAATATGATCCTCGCAGACGCCTGTGTCAGTCCCTAAATGCCCCCCTCCCCCACCCCCCAAGGTAACCCTTAAAAGACCTCCGACGAAAAGGAACCGACTAGCTGACTTTCTACCAACTATGTTAATAGTTACTCGATACGCTAGCGGAGGATGGCTCAGATCCTAACCACGAGATCCGGGAGTGCTTCTACAGCGAAGCCAGAAACGGCCTCGATGCCCAGGAAGGCGAGGTCTCGCTGGCAATGGTGGCAACATTGGGGGTGCAATGGACATAGTAAGTTTTCAGTCGGGGGTGGTGGCATGGCGTGGCATGGCATCATTTCCACATCCCGCAAAATCAGTCAGTTCGCTCACGCAAGTTCCATTTTCCTTTGCAGCCTCAACATAAACGGCCAGGACAAGCTGGGCAACAGCGTCCTATACCAGCAAATCTTCCTCTCCAAGCGACTGGGCAAGTGGCGGCAACGGATCGGAAGAAGTCCCAGCATGACCCAGGAGTATCTTGCCAAAATCGACCTCTGCCTTAACCAGCTCGAGTGGACGCTGTACGCGCTCAACCCGCTCATCGGCCTCGCGCTGAAGCAGGTCCGCGTGTTCGACAGGCCGACCTCCCGGCCGAAGCCTGTGTCCGATTGCAGAAATTGCACAGAAGAACAGAAGACTATCGGGTACTGGACGCCATATCCCATCCCGTACACAAGCATCGAATGGCATCCAACCTGCCACTACCTCGCATTCATCTCCCTCGCGGAAAAGGCGACCCTGGACGAGAACTTGTTTGAACAGAAGCGGAAAAACGACAGCGATGAGACCATGGACAAGTTTGTCAGTGTCTACCATGAGGTCGAGGACTGGCCGGAGCATCTCCCCGAGTGCATGAAATTGCACGGCAAAGCCATGCCTCATGTTATTGCCTTGCAGTAAGTGGGATCCTTCTCTTCACCAGCGTGATATTTTGACACCACCCTCTTTCCAACCCGAGGATTGATTCTTTCCGTCACATGCACAAGTACATCAAAGAGGAGAAAGTTGCTCGAGTGCTAATCGTTTCTCTCCTTGCGCGCTTCGACAGTGCACTGCACAGCTGGGTCAATATTACCATCTCCAAACAAACCGCCGCCCTCGACGCTGGAAAATCCAGCCAACCGTCCTTGGCGAAAACACCTCAGTCGTATAAGCAAAGCCACTGGGTGGAAGTCTGCATATCAGCATCCAAACAGATCAGCAACCTCCTCGAGCAGATTCGCCTGAATTGGGGCACCGACCATTTCCCCGTCATCATCATGCAGCCCGCCACCATCGCGGCCTTCGCTTTGCTTGAGGAACTGACCGACCGACCCGAGTCTCAAGAGGCATTCTTCAAACTCTGCATCATCCTGCGCGCCGCGAGCCGGAGGTTCCGCGTGGCCCGGGGAGTTTGGCGTCTTTTGCACCACACCGTCGAAGAGAATGGCATCGTGCTGGCCGATGAATGCCATCAGTTACTAGCCGATTTCAATGCCCGGATGGACGTGGACCCGAACGTGGCCGTCAGCATCGATAACATCGGGCTGGATTATTTGCTCGAGAAGTGGGATGATCTGGATCTTGACGGGGTATAATTTTTCGCGTCGGAATGTCGAGCCAGAACCACGCCAGCGAGTAGTAAGTGCTTCTTCTAGTGGGGACTCGTAGTAAATGTGTTTGCTAAATGGCGGACAGGCTCGTCTTGAAAGGAATTGCGTCCAAGGTTTCAGTCAGATGGCGGTGCTTGTCTATTAGCTTCGATATCTCGCAATGCCTGTCAAAAGCAACAACCTATTTTTCCCGAGAGTGAAAGAAAAAATAACCTCGGTGTCAAAGTCGTGGGATTTCCAGGCTGCTCAAAACTGACCTCTTCACAATATACTAGTAATTCTCCCCATCAAGGTCTTGACTTGTATAGTGCCCATCGCGCAAAGGTACGATTCCAGGTGTCTCGTCTGGCACAGCGATGTGAATTTGTCCGAGATATACTGGCAGGCAGCCGTGTAGTCCTTTCCGCCTGCAATCAGTGATTGCCCACATAAATCAGGACAACTCTTGGAACCGGGTAACCCTCGCACACAAGCCGGGGGCGGGCTGAGACTAGAGCGATATATTCCTTACCTGGGTGGTCTGGGAAATAGGAATCCAAAAGTGAGCGGAGTAGCTTCTCCCTAAAGAGATCGGTCTTGTTCAAGACGAGTTGGACCGAGCTATACGGAAGCCACGGCGACTTGCAGATGCTGCGGAAAAGATCGACGGCGTCCTGTAGCCGATTGGCCGAGCCGTCCTCATAGAGAGCTTGATCACACTCGGACCGAGCGAGGAAGAAGAGGACCAGGTCCACGTTGTCACAGTAGTGGGTCCATTTCTTCCTTTCTGAATACTCTCCACTGACCTCGATGACACGGATGATGGTGTGCTCGTTGGCTGTGAAGGCGTACTCAGCAACGCCCGTAGTCTCTAGGCGGGACCGGAGGATATCCTGGTCGTTGTTGAGCACGAAGCTTGGGGGGGAGGGGGCGGCGATTCCGTCAATCGGGTGAAATTGCTGCCATCAGGGTAATCAGGGTAGGTAAAGTACTTGCAAAGCCACTTCGAAGGTAATCTGTGTCCACCGAGTTAGGAATAGGCAGTGTACTATTGTGCGGAATCACACACTTGGAACTCGCTACACCGCGAAAAACAGGCCTTCACGCCCGCACCGACCCAAACAACCCTGATAGAAAGGTAGACTTCTGGAGAAAGCTCTGGGGCGGTCACCTTTTGTCTCTGAGAACATAGCCGAAGCGTGGCGGTCTGTAGTGGAATTTGCGAATGGGATGCCAAAGACGTCCACCGCCTCTAAGATGCCTTGCATCGACCGCAGAATGGTTGTGAAAATACCGCCCTTGAAGTTCAAGCGTTCGTCCACGCAATAACCTCCACCGTGGATAAGTTTCAGTTGCTTCAGCACGGTCGATTTTCCAGAGTCGCCAGCACCTCTCCAAGTCAAGATCTAAGCGTTGTCAGAGCCCGTGGATGGACCAACGTATGAGAAGGATCTTGACCTCCTTCCTCCGCGATTCTTGGTCGGATTTGAGCCGCTTCTCGACCTGAGTTTGGTCTGTTCTCTTCTTCAACATCCTCCTTCCGGAGAGAACAGCCCATACTTTCTGCAATATATCGCCTCGTGTGCAAGTGGTCTGCGAGAACAGTCGTCAGAGATGAAGAGAAATTGAAGGTAGGACGGAGGCAGTAGGACCGTGAAGGGGCTTGGTGTTGGGATTCCTTGGACATTGCGGCCTTTTTAACAGCATGTTGAGGCATCAAAGGATCATCCCAAACCCCTTGCAACGCAGCAGGTTTTCAAATAGATTTGAAAGCAGTCGTCCTTGCAAGCGGAGATTTGCAAGATGGGCTAAATCCCTGCCGTGCGTCGCAAAACGGTGTCCAATCTATCAGCGCAAGCCCTCGGCGTCGGCCCTGAAGAAGAATCCAATAAATTGCTGTCGCTTAGAATAGCAATGAACCATTACTCTTCGTTTTCAGATCTTTCGGCCCACAGGGACCCAGTAATATCTAATATCGATCTGGGTTCTCCGCAGGAGCGCAAAGTACGAGGATCCGGGGGTCAAAGTCATTGGTTGATCGTTAGGAACTAATATACCTAAGAACGGGCCAGGCTGTGTTGAATCCCGTAGGAGAAGGGGCCTGAGGGGGCCATCCACAACCCGCTCCTCCCGCCCCCAGGGCCGCTTCCGGATACCTCTTCCGCTGTCTACTCAAAGCCAAGGAGGCTAGTCCATAAGAGGTGAGTGTTGGCGAGAGGGAGTTCGGCGGATTCCGGATCGTTACGAGATCCTTTTGGCTACCATCGCATCTTAGTCGAAGCGGGGAAAGCTGATAGGTCCGGGGGATAGATCCCAGATAGGGATTTCAGCAGGTGGCTGTCTGACGAGTGTTCCTGGCGTGCGCTGAGCACCTAGAGCCCCGTGTTACAGGCATATATATATATATATAAGCCTGATATGTATGAAGACAGGTCATAATACGAAATCAGACAGGCAACATGGTGCTGGACAGTGCTGCAAGTCAAGAAGCCAAATCCCGTGACAGCCCAAGGTTCGAGGAGGGGAGAGTCCATTGGTAGCTCTAAGAGAAGAACTGCACATGCAACAAAGTGAGGTCCGAATCGTGGGCTGCTGCTCGATTCCTTGCGATAGTCTCCTGTCTTAGCGACCGTGAAGACCCCTTTCTTCGAGAGTCTGGCATATTGTGCGATGTAGCGTTTTCCAGCGGCCAATACGGACTCGGCCCCAATCCATCTGTTCGCGCCTTGGGGTCAGAGGGCAGTGCCGGGTAACGGAGGTCACAGCCGCAGGGTTCGCAAATAGCCAGTAAGGCTAAGGGAGGCACGTCTTAGGGCTGCAACAATGTCCCTCGTGATCGGAACAGTTTGCACTCTAGAGCCAGGGGAAATGGCTGTCCATAGCTGAAGGTCGTGTCCGCGGTAGCGTCTTGCGTGCAGCAGAAGTACCGTAGAGGTGAAATCGAGGATAAAGGCCGGGACGCTTCGACAAAATTGGAAAGGAAAATGCCAGCCGAAGAATTAGCCGAAAGAGAAACATCAAGCGACAGCCCTAAAGCGGCGGCTGGAGAGAAACGGCTCTGATTGGACCAGCTTGTCCTGCGTTATGCTTGATAGTCTGAATGCTATTGATCAAATCAACTTACTTGTAGTTACACATGACTGTGTCTGTCCCCATTCCGATATTTGACTGGGCGTTTATCCGAGCCCATCGCTCTCATCCCTGCGTAGTTGACGTTGACTCCCAACAGAGCGATTGACTCATGTCTCTCCTGGAGGTTTGATGGATGCTAGCTGATCTTCAAACCAAACCGCTGTTGTCCTTAGCGCTCTTCACCAGGTACGGTTCCTTTGCGTCGGGAAAAGTTGTTATTGGTTTATCGATGGAAGGGTCAAGCCTTGGGTCTGTTCTCCCTGCCGTCGCTGGGCCCGGTCGATGGCCTGGTTCGCCCAAAGGGAGACTGTCAATGTTCGGCCAGGTAAGCATACGCAGGATTGATTTGATGGACGGATCTTCGGACTTCATGCGTTGTGCTCCGTCAACGACAGAGAGATTCACCATCTGCTTCACAAGTATTTGAGGCCATTCTTTTCCTGCTGGTAGCCGCGCTTTCGCTCACGGGATCCAGTCATCTCTTAGACTGTCCCCAACCTTGTGAAAAATAGGGAGGACACTTCACTGATTCCGCCATAGGGCCATTGACATGGAAAAAAGGGCGGCCTAGTCATGGTAGATGTTGCGCAAATTTCAGCCTGGTGAGTGTTCTCCGTACCCGATTTGTAATGCCGGAGGTCGCATCTGGTTCTGTACGTAAAACCCGTCAGACCAAGATAACCCAAACGAATTTGTCTCAAAACGCGTGCAACTGCGCCTTTCGATTGCGTTTGCTCACCAACAAGGCCCTCGAAATCAGTCAGAGTGGGTTGAGGAAGATTGCTCTCGAGGGCAGCGAACTTACCTCGAAATATCCGTCTCCTCCCTTATTCTCGTCAAGTATCACTGACCGCCCGGCTCTGCAGGTACATGCCACCGCCGTCCAGAACTGCGCAACTGGATTTAAAATCTCCACAAGCCTACAGGCGGTGTCTCAAAGACTCCCTTCAATCCTCCTCGCAGTGAATGCGACGCGATTGCACCCGCAACACGAAGCCTTCGAGATGTGTTCCACCAGCCGAGAGCCAGATCCGATGTTGCGCCATTAGGATCACGAAGGTCATCCTTTTCTTTCCAATTGTTATACATAATGGGTAGACAAGAGTTGTACAGTATGGACTTGGACAAGTTCAAGGGAATTGAAATGGCGGCCTGCGCCAGTTTTCAACACGGAAATGGAGGGTGGGCTGGTCCTGGCAAAGTATTGCGCAGTGAACTTGCAACTCGGAAACGACTCGCTTCTGCCCGTCAAGACATCGAACTAACTTGTAGGCGATGGTGTCCCCTTAATATATCCCAACTCTGAATGTACCGTGTCCCAACCTGCCGTTGACCTTGAATTGCTGCCGTGAGGCAAAACCGACTTTTCAGGTCTGGTGCCTGTCGAGAAACAAGCGAGAAATTTCAAACCACTCGTCTCAGCTCATCAGTCGTAGCCCGGAAGAATCGGGACTCCTCTTTGGCGCCGCCAAAAGTTGGCTCTTTGACCCCATTCCGAGGTGAGAAGCCAACCACCCCAGCGTTCCAGAACGCTCGCAGAAAATTCCCACGAGAATTCATTGAGCCAATCTTCTCCCCATACAATCATCTGCCCCGTATCTTCAATGTCGCATGCTATGGTGCATGCCTCTGTTAAAAATGTATTGGCATTCGCCGGACCGATTGCGATCAGCCGGTCTCTGAGACTGGGAGAAGGGATCATGTCTATATAAGCATGATGTGGTGTGGATAGTTGAAGCTGGGAAGGTTTCAAAGAACTTGGCAGGGATGGTTCCAGCGCTGCTAGGGTGGCCAGATGCGTCTGCGGGTTAGAGATGACGGGAATTTCGAGAAGTGGTGAGAACATTTGATGAAGTGATCGACGGATTTCGCGGATGTTGTTGGGTACGACAACAACGAGGGTGCTGGGGTCGCTGCTGGCGCTCGATAAAGGCGTCGTGGCCGGTTGAGGCACGGAAACTGGCACAGCGCCCGGGACGTAGGAAGGAGCCCCTGAAACTGCACCCAGGTAGCCACCAGGCGCAGCTCCATACGCCATATACCCAGAAGGAGAGCCTCTGACTTCACCAGGGCTCATCGTCGGTCCTGGTGAACTGGCTTGCGACCCGTAAGCGGCCTTCAAGGATTCATTCTCTTGAACGAGTGCTTGGTTCTCGCGGCGAAGTCGTTCAACTTCTTCGACCTGAATACTGTTCAGTTCGCGCTGGGCAGCTTCGAGTTTGCTCAAGTGTTCCTTGCGCCTTTGGCCTGGTGGGAAAGTTAGTGCCTGGTTCCGAGGCAAATTTGCGAGGGCCGTTCCGCGGGAGGCGCAGAGCTACTTACGGAAAACTCGCTGGGCGTTGCGATTGTATTCTCTGATGCGGAATCAGTGGAAACCCCCGAGAGGAAGGAATCAGATCAATGCGTGTCGACGCACCTCTTCTTTGCTGCCTTGCTTGCTTCACTGCCCGACTCCGACATGGCGACAATTTGGATGATTTCACTGTTGGTCTGATGGATGATCTCTGTGGCGACCGACATCATTCAAGTACCTTTGACCGGCTCTCGCACTGACGTGGATTTATGCCAGCCCGACCAGTACGTAAGGCCAGGCGCAAAGGGGAGGATCCGCAGAAGCAAAGCGTGGCCGCCTGGGAGATGTCCTCCAGTCAGAAGTTGAGGACAAAAAGCTGAGACGCTCAGAGCCCTTGGAGATTGTAACGCCAGGTATGGAGGAAGCGATATGTCCAGAATTAAAAGGAGATGAAATGATCCGAATCAGACGAGTGTTGCCAGTCTGATTGGGCAGCCGCAAGGATCGGGAGCAGAATAGCGCAACGGCCAACCTACGAATAGTCAAGTTGATTTGAATATTGCTAAACGGCGGTCATAGACGAGTCGGGATCTGAGGATCTTGTTCGAATCATGAGTCTGGCGGACACTTCCCTATATCTGTGGAGATACACTGCCCTGAGGGCCTAGCAGATTGACACAAATAGTCTACCAAACCTTGGGTATGGTGAGTGTTCACAATGGGGACCCGCCTTGCCCGTTCCTGGAGACCAGTGAGGACTGTGTCCCGCGAGCCAAATGGAAACTGTAGTCAGCCACAGCCTTTTTGGTAGGGTTTGGTTCGCCTACCGTTGGCCGAAGTGGACGGGACCCAACGCAGTCGGCATTCGCACAAAGGGACAACAAACAGCGACCAGGGATCCCAGGATGGCAGTCGAATGCTCATTCGAGTCTCGGCAAGACGTACCTGGTCCAGCTTGGGAATGAGGCACGCAGGGGGATATGGTGAAGCCATTGGAACGGGAGGGTACAATGACCGAAGTCTGTGGACCAGGTGTGCAAGGGTTTCTCGCCTAGGAACTCATCCTTGGTCCGAAGCCTGTGCAGGCTTCCCATAGGGGGACGTCAGA